TGCACAAAAGGCTTAGCCTTTGGGCCTCATTGTCCTCATGTGTAAAACGCTGGGGTTGGAATAGATGATTTAAAAGTTCCACAGTTTGTAGAACTGCGAATATCTGTTCCCCGTTCCAGTGCACCCTAAGTAATAGTCATCCCAGATTCAAGTAACATAAACTGACAGTATTTTGCATTTTAGATTCGACAGAAGCTGCAGACTAAACAGGCTGCCATGGAGAAGTCTGAAAAGGCTAAGCAACTGCGAGCACTTAGGAAATATGGAAAGAAGGTGAGAAGGAAAATGTGAGGGGATTAGAATGAGGCCAAGAGTGTCAGATCAGATTGCTGTGGTCTGATGTGGTTCCATGCCCTGTGTGTATTTGATCACGTTTATTATCTCATGGAGACTCATGTGTATGCTAGTATCCATGAGCACAATCTTCTTGACCCCAGTGTGTCACCAGGAGTAGTGTGGTGACTGTAGGCTTTAGTTTCCATATCAATATAGTGAAGAGTTGTGTTGAAATCGGTGGTTTCCAAACCCAGCCTTGTAGCAAAATCCCCAGGGGAAATTTTTCAAAACAGATTTCCACGCTTCAGAATTTCTGGGAATCTGTGTATGTTTTCTTCCTTACCCCCAAATCTTCCCAGGTGATTCTGATATGCATTCTGGTTTGGGACTTGCTGGCCTAGATGAATGTTAAGTCCTTAAAGGAATTATACTATTGATTGTCATCTAGTCTGAGAGGAAAAAATGGCATCTGTGTGTTTGAACTGTGAATGTCTGAGTTCTAATGTAGAACTAGATCAGGCATACTGTAAAGCTTTTCTTGGTTTTCCTTTTTTATTTCATGGTAACCTAAGAAAGAAGATGACAGGAATTCAAGTTAGGGTTGTGGGAAGAAATGAGTGTGAGGGAGATTACTGTGGGTGTTGAGCCTTTGTCAATATTTTGGACATGTACATGTGTGATCTGGGGAGTGGAACTGTTGTCCACATGTGGGGTCATTTCACTGATACAGCCTCAGTGGAGTAACAGTAGACTAGCATCCTTTCCTCTGCAAAAAATCCACTGCAGATTTATTGTTTCTCTGATCTGGAGGTGGATGGCTGAGGTCATCTCAAAGACATGAGCAATTAGTTTTTAACATAAACTAATTTATCAAAAGCAAAGAAGTCAGTTGGGCCTGTTAAGCTCACTGTTTCTAATTTGAGGAAACCTTAGGGCAGTGGTTCTCAGCTGGGAGTGGTTTTGCCCCCCAGGGACATTTGTCAATGTCTGGAGACATTTTTGGTTGTCACATTTTGGCGAGGAGGGTGCTACTGGCATCTAATGGGTAGAGGGTAGGGTTGTGCTAAACATTCTGCAATGCACAGGAGAGGCCCCCACCCCCCAGGAAAGAATAATTCTGTCTAAAATGTCAGTATTGTTGAGTTTGAGAAAAACCCTACTTAAGAGTATAGGTCTCCTTTTGTCCTTGAAGCTTTTTTTTGTTTGTTTGTTTTCTGGGTATGTTGTATTTTCTCTTTTCTTTTGGTACTTTCATGCCTAGTAACAGTGGGTTACTGCCCAAATGTAATTATTGGGGAAAATTGGATGTAGATCTAAAGAC